ATATCAAAAGAAAAAAAATAAGGAATAAAAGCAATATTCTTGTGACACGTTTTACATAACATACATGTATATCTTCATTCATGCAAGAATTATTTTCATTTATTAATTAAATTCATATTTTAGTGTGCTATTTATGGTTAGGCAAATTTATTAATTCACATTATATATACATGTATATCAGAAAAAAAATATGATTAGATAATATTAAATCTCCACGGCCTCTTCTTTGTTCTTTCTCCGGTAGTTATTTTTTACTTGTGCAATATACGTACCTATTCGTGTAAATTATACGCAAATATTAAAAGAACATTGTCTAAAATTCTGTGTAAAAATATTGCTATGCTTTCAAAATAATTTATAAATCACCATTTATTAATCACTGATGATAGCAATCTGTCTAATTTGGGTCTTCACTAAATCTATAAAATTCTTAATTGAGAATAGGGATCCAGGAATTCTTTCCGGGGGGGGGGGGGGGTCCATCCAAGTCAAAAAAAAAACAAAAAAACAGAAATTTCTTGACAAGAAAAACTGCTCTCCCAAAAGTATCAACCCTGAAATTTTCTTGCAAAGAAAAAAAAATCCGTTTCACAAACGTGAAAAACCTATTTGGTTGTGGTAGTGGTGGGGTCCACGTTTTCAACGGGGGGGGGGGTATCCAAAATCAACTTTTATTGATTCAGTATATACTTTTAAGAACTCTGCAAATTCCAGGGGGGGGGGACCACCTCCCCCTTCTTGATCCGCGTATGAGGATCTGCTTTATACTCACAATCCATCGCACACAAAAATCTCTGACCGTTTATATTATTTGTAAGAGTAAACCTGACCTTTTTTTTTTTTAATACGACCAGTTACATTTTGAGATTAAAAAAACAAGGATGGTCCAAACTTTCAAATAGTGCACGATTATGCCGTGAAACTTTTCATAGGAATTTTAAATCAGTTAATCTTCACTTGATAAGTGAGTGTTAGATTGATTTAGGTGTCCAGTGTAACAACGAATATTGCTCACTTTATTCGTTGTTATTATATCTGAAATTAATTATTATTATATATATTATATCTGAAAAGAAGAATATTTTTCCTGTGACATTTTCTCACAGGGGATCGTGGAAAATGTGATGTGTTATTTAGCCTCGTCTCTACATACATGTCCGTAGTTCAATTTCAGGTTTTTTATTTCTTCGGGGGAAGGGGTGTGTATACCTGATATAACCTGACATTAAACAATTTGTATCGAAATTTTCTTGATAAAATGGGTTCACGTAAAACCAAGCATATATGTATATTGAATTGAATTGTAATTATGTTACGCGCCCAGGACATTTTTTCTGTCGCAACTTATGCACGAATTTTACGGAACACTCAAGAAAATTATCATGTGAGAAAATTAACATTTACATGTAATCTGCTAGAAAAAAAAAATTACTCGGTATTTTCTTAATCACTGTTAATGCCGAGTTTGCAGTATTAAAATCATCATTTCGGCGGTAAAATTTATTTTCTTTGATCGCTTAAAATGATTTTTTTTTTTAAATTATTCTAAATAGGGACAAAAACTCCCTGTATTTAAAACATTTTTTTCTATAGAGGTAAAATGTAATAGATATATCTGACAGTACAAAACAAAATAAAAGAAAAAAAATGAGTAATCGGTCTGTAACTATAGGCCCCCCTAGAGTCTTGATCCGCCTATCTACTCTTTGTAATCTTTCGACACGTAACGTCACAATGGCGGAAGTGACGCCTCGGTGTATATTTTTGTGTGTTTATGTAGACAGACGAACCAAGACTATAAAGTTTGGATATGTTTTGTGTTATTCTTCTGTAGGGATTATTTTACGGGGACTCGGTGAATATTTATTGTCGCAAAGATCGTAATGGAATCCTTTCCGTTGAGTGACTCAAAACAGCAAATAAAAGACGAAGGAAGTGTAGAATGTGTATTTTCGCGATTATACACCAAAATATTGCATAAACAACTAACTGAAAGGTAAATTCAATCATTGATTCAACAGCTTCGTGCATTATAAGAAAAAAGGTCGCATATAACAATAAGAATAAGTCTTAGATTTTTCTCAAATCTCAGCTTACGTGAGACGAATCTCAGCAATGTTGGTGGCACGGTGTTTTAGGAAAATCTCAGGTGAGACAGAAATCTAAGATTTGAGGTTGAGATTTGAGCTGAGATTTTTATATGTTGGTGGCCCCGAAGCCTGGTAAGAAACAAATCTAAGTTTAATCCAAAACGAGGAAGAAATCGAACTTTGGATGCCGTTTGCGACACATTAGAAAATATTCATTTTCCAAACAAACCCAGAAATATCAAACCCAACCTTTCTAAGGAAGAGGAAAAAGCTCTTAAAAGCCTATGCGATGACCCTACTATCATTATTAAAGAGGCTGATAAAGGAGGTGGAGTTGTGTTAATGAATAAGGATTTTTACAAAAATAAAATCTTACAAATGTTACAAGACAACAACTTTTATGAAAGACTGCACAATTGTCATGAGAAGAAAACAATTACTAAAATAAAAAAGCTGGTATATGGACCACTATCGGAAGGTTTAACAGATAAAGAACAGGACTACCTGACAAACTTTGAATTCCGAGAGAGCCAATTCTATGGTTTACCTAAAGTTCACAAGTCTAAAATTATTAAGGACGCCATAGCAAATCAAAATAGTGTATGTATTAAGTGTCTAGATCCAGGTGATTTATGCTTCAGACCCATTGTAGGAGGACCAAACTCATCAACACAAAGACTGAGTCACTTATTGGATATACTTTTAAAACCATATTGTCAAAAAGTACCCAGCTTTGTAAGAGACGATCTGGATTTCATAAATCATTTACCTACTCAGATCACCTGTAACACAAAACTTGTCACTTTTGATGTCGTTAGTTTATATACTAATATTCCTACAGAATTAGGATTGGAAGCTGTAAAATTTTGGATGGAAAGTTATCCCGATATACTAAATGACAGATTCCAACAGAATTTTATTTTAGAAGCACTTAAATTAGTTCTAGAAAACAATTCATTTGCTTTTTCTGACCATCATTACCTTCAAACTAAGGGAACTGCAATGGGGACGAAAGTCGCACCTACCTATGCAACATTAACCTTAGGTTATTTAGAACATAAGTTACATGAACAATTATGTTCGTTGTGGGGAATAGAATCTGCAAATAATATACAGTCTAAATGGAAAAGATTTTTAGACGACTGTTTTATCTTATGGGATGATGATGTCGACAAATTATCGGAGTTTTACGATCTAATAAACCAAATGAACTCGGATATCAAATTCACGATGGAAACAGATGATACGCAAATGCCATTTCTCGATGTTCTTATATCAAAAGATAATACCAGGTTAAATACGGATATATACTATAAGCCGACAGATACACACCAATATCTGCATTTCGGATCGTGCCATCCCCACCATACTAAAACGGCTATACCATATAATCTCGCAAGAAGGATCTGTACCATTGTGAGCAATATTAATACGAGGGATATCCGTTTGGAGGAATTAAAATTGTATTTATTGAGCCAAAAATACCCAGAGCAACTGGTAGATAATAGTATTATGAAAGCCAAGGAGTGTGATAGAACACAATTACTTTCAAACACACGACGTGCGAAGGACGGAGAAACTATACCCTTTGTTCACACGTACAATCCGAGAAATAAAAACATCAATTCAATTGTTTATGAATTAAATAGCTTACTTAGAGAGGATGAACAAACGAAAACTACATACAAAAACTGTCGTTTTATCAGCAGTAAACGTCAGCCTAAAAACCTTAAGAGAATACTTTGTTCCTCCCAATTCGCTGACCATAATTATACAGTGTCAAAGTGTACGGACCCTCGCTGCGGCACATGTGACTACATTACAGAAGGGACGAGTTATAGTTTTAACGGACGTGAATTTAAAGTTAATGCCAACATGTCATGTGATACGAAAGATGTCATATACGCCATCATATGTCCTGGATGCAAAGAATATTATATTGGTGAAACTGGCAACAGTCTCCGTGCCCGTGTACGTGTACATAAGCAACACATCAGTACACCTGAATATAGACAAATCAAGTTAAGTGCACACCTGGAAACTTGTGGAAAAAAACGATTTAACATTTTCCCTTTTTATAAACTCAGATGTGCCAGTGATATCCAGAGACGGGAAAAAGAAAAACATTTTATTTGTATTCTAAAGCCAAAACTTAATAGTCTCTTATAAACTACCTATGATTTTCCCGAACTTTTTCATCATCATTGCAGTATTTTATCTATGACGTCACAATATAGACATTAAACGTTCCGCTTAGTTTAACGTCATAATCATTGTTACTATGTTACCGTTGTATACATTTTTGTAATGTAAAGCTTCTGAAGATTTTTAATGAAAGCGCTAAAGCTTTACGGAGGATTCTTGTGTTTTCTTTTTATATTTGTTTAATATTGTAATCCGATTACTGAGACTTTATTTCAATTTTGGATATATATATATATATATATATATATATATATATATATATATATATATATATATATATATATATATATATATATATATAGTTTTTTCCCCAAACAACATACTGGTATGACGTTCTCAGAAGCCTGATGATTTGAAACGATATGTCCAAGCGGAACAAATAATTGCAAGTCCGGAATATGCTGGTTCTGGTGAGAAAAACTGACTAAATTTGTAACGTTGTTTTACTTTTTTCTTTGAATTAGAAAGGTTTTGAAAACATATTGCAGATAATATGGCATATACTTTTACAAAATAAGGCTTTTCTGTTAACAACACTGTATGATATCTGCAGTTATCTAAAATTTACAAATACCTTTCTATAACTTTACATGACCCTGTTATCTTAATGATAACTTACTTGAAAACCAATTTAAGCGCGATTTGTCGAAATTCACAGCTTGAATACTAAGATACCTATTTAAATTTGATTTTATGCTTACTTACTTTATTTTGAAATATTGCCGCAATAACAACTGCTGCTATTTGTACAAACAATATAATCACCATCACCACACAGTACTGAAAAAAAAATTCAACAGAATTATAGTTAATAAATGTCGTAAATGTGGACATTTGATACTCAATACTAGTTATACAAACAAAAATCTAGAAAAAGAATGTTTGGGAAATTTCTGACTAGTGAAAAAGGCCACAATTTCTTTCAAGTCGGGGATAATGTAATGAAAAATTAATCCATCATGATTTATGCTTTTATACTTCTCTTAACACTTTTATATCTTTATCCAATCTTAAATTTGATGGTGATAAATTCGTAATGTATTAATATTTCTAGCCATTTGTGACCTCATATAAGATTTGAAATATGAAAAAGACATATGATTAACGACATAGGGTAAATACTAGTAATTATTTCACATTCCGAAGTATATGTCTACGTTTGCAAATTCCATTTAAAAATCACCTACAGCAAACAGGAGACAGTTATTTTCCTTCACAGCTCCACAGCAACCCAGGAATCCAATGAGGACAGCCACACCCCCACTGGCGATGAGAACCATTGCCCCCGTGCGGATGAGAGAGACGACATCGAAGTTGTCGGCATCCCCCACCTCCGTTAGAATTAGGATCTTATCATCGTCAATCAACGCCCAGACCCCCAGACCCACTGTCCCCAGACCGATGAGCTGGACAAAAAAAATCGAATTTAATACAACTGATGTAGTTTGAAGAATTCAAAAGCACCATAGAATTTGTCTTTGAATGGTTGTTTATGGTTGCTTTTGTTTTTGTTGTTGAGATTTTGTGCTCATTTTTTTAATTTTTTGTTTGTTTCTCAAATAAATCCTCATTATCAAGCAAAGGACTTTAATTTACCTTAAAAATTTTATATGTAGTAATATCGCCTTCAATGTAAACATGCTTAATTATAACATAATTGACATAAACATCTGATCTCTTTGTTTCCCGGTTTTTATTGTTATATCTTGCAAAAAACAAAAGAGTTCATCGAAGCTCGTTTTCCATACCGTCTACCATATGTTTTTGTTTCACGAGCTTGATGGAAACCAATGTGTCATTGATATGGTAGTAAATCGGTCTGTGTTGACGAATTAACTAATTCAGTATCTCTGGTGTATATGTTATTGTGTGACCACAACATTGCTGACCATAAAAGAACTTGACCTCAACAGGACAAAGCGACGCCCTAGTCGCAAACTACGACAATTCCAGAATTTATCGTCTGGACAATATATTTCAGTGCCATTTTCAGAGTTTTAAAAAGAGTACGAGGAGTTGATTGAATGCAAATAGAGGACATTTTCTTTCAATATTAAAAAAAGTATACCACACAAAAAGTATTGGAAAATTTGATAACTAATCCTTGTATTGGTTATCAATTATGTATTTATTCAAAAATTATTTTCTGAGATTAGAAATTAGAAGGATACCAATACAAAGTTTAATACTTGATACAGACTTGCTTAACGACATTAGTCTTCCACAACGAGCAATCAAACATGCAGAAGTAGATTCGTTAAAAAAAAAAACTCAACAACCTTTCCTCTCCATTAAAACTCCTGAAAGCAATGAATGATGACGTCATTAAACAGATGGTTACTTACGAAAAAAATGAAGTTGGCGATGAATAAAATGTATTTCACACATGTACTACCGCATGCCAGAGACATGGTGCCTAAAACAAGGAGAAAAAAAACAAGACATTAACTATAGCACGAAAACAGCTTGTACCTTAAATCTGACAGGAAACGAATAACGACTCACTATTAGTAAAAATTATCAATCGATGAAGAATTTGAACTTAAGAGGTTCGGTTCTGATATCCTTCTATATGTAAACTGTTTGCAGATCACTCATCAATCAAGCCGTTAGTCTCGTATTAAATTGTCTACGGATTTCTCCGTTTACCCTATCTTAACAAGGGTCATACGGCGGGTGTGACCGGACGACATGGGATGATTACTCCTCCATGACACCTGATCCCACCTCTGATGTTTTCAGAGGTCCGTGTTTGCTCTTTGAACATAATTACTGTTCATTATGTCTGCATAAAATTTCCCTTTTAAGATTGGACTCTTTCCTAACGTCTCTTGCAATAAGACCTTACTATTTTGAATTTCAAAGTTTATAATATTTTTGCTTAAATTCGGTGTACGTTAATAATTACTGGACATTGTGATTTACAGATGAAAATTTCTTGGAAAGTTCAATGAATTCAAAAAATTTCTTGTTTTGATTTAGAGCTCTTGTCATGATGCTACTCATCCTGGTGATGCAGAGGTGAGATGTGCATAAAGATCTTTTAAAAGCCTTGTCTTAAACGTTTCTATAATGATAATTCAGTTAAACATTTAAGGTGAATGTAAATAATTCACAATTATACATAAAAAATAATTACCACAGTTTAAAATTATTTAGCATATACGTTATCAATGATGATGAATTTGAAAATAACAAGAGTTAGTAAATTATTTCATTAGCAAATCGCAATTGAAAACTTGAAAGAAATGAAATATATTCATCTGAAGTTCATTGTTATAAAAACTGAAAATCTGGCAAAAATGTGGTCACTTTGATTTACTATTGTAAACACTATGAAACTGGAACCTTTGGTTTACCATAATAAACTATAGTGTACTATACAATTTTTTAAGATTATAATGAAATAAAATGAAATATTGTTTTTAACTTTATCCTAATGCAAGCAATAATTAATTGTTAAAGAGGTGAAGACCAAATTTGAGCACGAAATAAATGTATATTAATATAAAAAAAGAACAAAATAATATATATTGTTTAAAGTATCAATTAAAAAAAAGAAAGAACTGTAGAACAAGCAAACTCGTTTCCTTTAAGGACAAGAGATAACGTTTTCATTAAATATACTGGCAAGGACTTAAAACAGAAGTAAACTTACGTGCTGTGTATCCCGTGTTGTGAGAGACATCTAGTATGAACTCTGGCGACACTGGGCGATTCCCGGCAGTGTAAGGCTGGGCGTGGGAGCAGACGAATATAGAAACAGGCGGGAAATCGGACAGCTTTATTACCCTTACGTCGTCACAGTAACGACTAGCAGTTATGACAGAGGGCCAGTCCACTAACAACAAGCTCAGATTATTCCTCGTCAATTACATGTACTAAATTCATTAACTTTATCATAAAGAAATTTTAGGTTTTTATGACCATCTTGTAAATTAAAGTATTTACGTCTGCATCACATCAGAGCAAAGGTAAGAATTGTTATATAGTGTTATATAGTGTTAGCCTTTATTACTAATTTACACAAAAATACAGAACAAATGTTACATGACAATTTGGTGTCTCAAGCAATCGTTGTGAACCCATTGACCAGCTCAGTCGTGTTTTGCCGTCAATAAAGATTTTCGCCTGTTCTTATAGACAAGAGACTTGTTTCAATCAAAATATGTGTAATTTATGCAATAGCGGGGCTCGTATATTATTGAGTATTGATATTTGTACCTTATTCTGACCCTAGGGGACCTTGATGAATTCAATCTGAAATTAGGTATTAGGATACTGACAGGTTGTACTTGAAAAATATTTTAAAAGATGTTCCCCAGTATGTTTCTATGAAAAGCATCTTTAGGTGGCAACATCTTTTATTTGAAAACCTTTTACCCAGCTTATAGCTTTATGCTCAAATTGGTTGAAATTGGCAACATGGTTTTAGAGAAAAATATAAAGTGTATATTAAAAAAAGTAAACAGATATCAAGACATATGCCGGACGATTTTTTGGTCAGAAAAGCTTATTTCTGTCCTTAAGTGAACTAAAACTTGGAAACTATACGACATAAGAATAGTTATATACTAAAACAAATTATACCTGGTAACCCTCTTTTCTCTGGTGTGTCCTCAACCAGATTCAGGGGATCAGCCAAAGCTAAGCTTAAATTCTATATTTAATTATGGTCACTGATTATTGAAAACATAGCTAATGGGTCTATTATGCTAAACATATGTATAATCAAAGCCTATATATGCAGCTTATCTTCGTGGATATTAGCTATAGCAAAGACTCACTCTAAATGAATGATCTCGAATGTACATCCCTAGATGAAATATCCGTGCATTTGTGGTCATCATAGGACTAAAAGTTACTTGAGAATGGGCTTGCCCCCAGAACTTTAACATGGTTACACATTTAGAATATGTAGGTCAGATCCAGCATCCGTAGCCAATCTGGTATAATGTTCATCCCTAGAAGCATAGACCTTGGTCATCATAGGGCTTAGAGTTTCTTGAGAATGGACTTTCTCCAAAAACTTTAACATGTCAGGACACTTATCCGGAAATGTAGGTCAGATCCAGCAGCCGAAACAAACTATAGTATCTGGTAGTAATATGCTTCTCTGGACGCATTATCCATGCAAGTTTGATCCAGATAGGGTTAATTGTTACTTTGAAATGGATTAGTAGGGGTGTTATAATAGCATTTATAAACCTCATTTTCGTCGGGGAGAGCTCAAAATATTACAAAGATCAATGACTTTTATATAAGAAAGACAAAGTCTCACATTAAATGACTGTTCTTGTTGTGTACACCTTAGATGCAGCACCCATGTAAGTCTAGTCACCATAGGACTTGGAATTACCTGGGAATGTATCTATTCTTAAAATTCTAACTTGGTCACTCATCCAGAAAATGTAGGTCAGGTCCAGAATCCAAAGCAAATCTTAAATCATTCATCCGTGGATGCATCTTCAATGCAAGTTTGGTCACCATAGGGTGTAGTTACTTGAGAATGGACATGCTCGAAAAACTTTAACTTAGTCACTCATCCAGAAAGTACTGCCTGCTGGTTATTTAGGAAATAACTAAACCCTGGACGCGGATGCCAGAGGTCAAGTCATATTTTTTTTACGTCGTTACATAGTTGCATAATAACAAGATAACATGAGCTAAACATAAGATAGCTCTTTAGTCGACTAAAGGGGTATAAGCTTATCTGGGCTCCGTGGAGGTAGGCTAAAAACCCATCTCTAATGTCAAGGAGGTTTTGTGATATCGTCCCTCTTAACGAGGAACTATATCACAAAACCTTGACATTAGGAAGATGGCTAAAACTAAAATAATGTACATGTGTACATTTAGATATACAATATCTATATGATATTAGACAGGTAAACGTTCATACTTTCAGTATTGGATTCCCTCGTATCATACAGAGAGACAGATATATTTATATATACCCAAATAAAAAAAATTAACCCCCCCCCCCCGAAAAAATAAAAAATACAGTTTGTCCCAACAGTCGCTTTGGGTAATTTAACTTCTAGTTTTGGAACTAGTATCCTATGTAATTACCTCTCCCTCAAACCAAGTCATTGACTTTACTTCTCGCCAATGGGTGGTGTTAAAGAAATGTAATATAAATACTTTTCCTTTCAAACTTAACGCAACTGGGTGATAGCAACTGAAACAGTATCGACCAAGTTATGTGGGAGAGATAAAAAATACATCATTTTATTTTGGACTGCATTATAGGTTTTTTGTCAAAAAGGATGTGAAACACGTTTCTTTAATTTATTCAATATACTAGTATGTTTGATTTAATCTGAAAATTATAAACAACAGTATAATAGAATTCCACCATTATCTTATTTTATTTCAATATAAAAATAATGCCAGTACACACTGAGAGAAGGCAACAACACAATAGGCATCTTTAACATAAATACTAGTAAGTAATATTAAAGTAGAGAAAACAGCACCTTTCAGAATATAGAAATTGAGAATTGTTGAAAAAATATCTGCCCCTTCAAGTATTCAGTTCTTTGAGTAAAAAAAAAGTCCTTACAAAATATAAGCATGACGTTACCTTGTTTTTAACCGAACAATCGGTTTGAATATAAGATTGATTTTTTTTCTCTTCTATTAAATACAAATGATATTTTGAAGTACATGTATAATTGAAGTGAATAGCTGAAACTTAAATACATTGGAACAAATTATAGACACACGTATGTCAAAAAATGTAATTTTGAAATACCAGTAGTATAATTGTAGACATGGCTACTGTCTATAAACTATATGTTAAATATGAATGAGTTTAAAACTTCATGGAAGAGGAGACTTGACAATCAATAAACTTTCTTGAAAAAAAAGAAAAATCTATCGATAGTGTTGTATGATCTCTGTGATCTACTAATGTGTTCATTGTGACGTTACATTGATTGAGCACGTGATAAAGCACAGAACTTATTTATTGATATCAAATCAACTTTATCAAATTATTTTTATAGGTTGATAGAGTATAAATTATACATACAAAGAAGTGTTTAAAAAAGCCACATATTCCATCATTTTTTTTTTATCTTTGATATGTGAATATCTTAATTTTTCTGCTTGTTTTTTTTTTTCACGAGCACATCGTTTACATCAAGTGGAAAAAAAGTGGATAAAATAGTTTTGCTAGTATCAGAAATGAAATACCAGGTATGTGGTACTGTCTTTATTGATTTCAAGAAAGCAAAAATAGTTACCCTGGATATTTTTGTCAACATAATATCAAATATCTAGTGATGTCATACAAATACTTCCCATAGGCCTAGACTTGTACCTTACTACCCCCCCCCCCCCCCACCAAATGAAAAGAAAATATGGCAGTAATATACTGAAAGTGTCAAAGACAAATAGTGATCGATAAAAGGCTATAATTCCCCTTTTTGGGGGGTTTCAGAACCTTAGAGCCTCGAGTTTATCTGTGAGTTTCGGTCTAATTTCCAACCAGGAAGGGAAATGAACACATTCTAACTTATAAATATTGACAAGAGGATTTCTTGACTCGAAAAATAAAACTACACTGTCACAGAGTATTAGAAATATTGAAAATACACATTTATAACGGTACTGTAACAGTTTCTTTCTACAGGCATACATGTAGATTATTAGTTATTTATACTATATTGCAACACTTGATCGCATAGAATGTATTCAAATATTTTCACATTCATCGTAAAGAAATGTTCACAAGACAAAAACAAGAATTCTCTTAGGGGAAAAATGACTTAGTCACACGGAACAATCCATATAACATAACATAACAACGTGTAAGCTTAAAAAGGGTAGAACAAAAAGTACTGTCACAGGGAAATACGCGTGAGTCAACATTTTGATCTTGCATGGCACAAAAGAAAGATTTCTTGCATTTATAATCGTATAAAGAGCATTAATTATGAAAGCTTGACAAATTGCATAACAAATGTTAATGCTATTTTTCAGCCGTAACAAACTCGCATCCACAGTAAAGTGTACAGTCACTAGCTATCGCTATTGATTATAGATACTAGTATCAAATGTATAGGGTAAAAAAATAATAAATCAATTTACAATATAAACGGTATATATAGTGGAAATAAAAGAACGAGAACTGCATGCATGAATTGATATATTATGCGACATTCAAGAATGCATACACACCTACACTGAAAATTTGCATAGTGAGAGCAATTAATTAACTCAATATACCATTTATCTTACAGTTGCTGATAAAAAGCAACAATTTACTAACAAAGCTGCATTGATTGTAGATGAAAAAAAAAAGTCAATGTATAACACTTCGAAAAAAAAATACCTGTGTAAATTACACATTGCATTGATACTTAAATGATGTGAAAATACACGAAATCTATCATACACGAAATTTAAAATGATAGAGTCTACATAAATCTTAGGAAGTGAAGTATCCAACCAATGAATATTTATATTCCATTATCCCCTCTATAAAACCTACCCAAATGATTCAATGGCTATCATATTTATTTTACCAGTCACCATAACGTCAGATTTACGTATTCTTATTTTTTAAAAATAGTAAGGTAGAAGTAAAATATGATAATAACTTTTTGAGTAGATACTTATAATACATCTTACAATAAATGAATGGATGAAGCGATGGTTTATGAATCAGCAAAAGGGGGCTCATTGTATCATTATGGTCCTCACAAGATAGGCAGTAATGACACTCAGCGCCAAGTGGGTGTCATTTTTGTAGGCGATAATGACCAGATTACGAGAGTATGACAAATGGATTTTGTATCACAGAATCAACTTTAGCAAGTCATGCTTAATTACATACAAATATATAGAAAAATACACATGTAAAGTATAGAAAAAATACAATGAAGCAAAAATACAGCACATTCACAAACAATAAAGATATTGAGCTTTGACGACACTTTGTATTCATAAGGCAATGTATAAGAAATATAAAGATTCTAAGCTGCTGTCTGACACTTTATCACAGGCTTAATTAAAAGCTATATGTTCAAAATAATGCACCAATATTATACTGCTCCGAGAAGGTTTTCATGAATTAAAATTTCTTTCACCTCTTTAGATCAATAAAAGACAACGTATTGGATTACTTCAGCAGAACAAAACTTTTTTTCTATAAATAAATCAGAAAATAAGATTGTGTGTGTGATGAACACAGAATGAGATCATTTTCAGTTTTTCATCCTAAAAATATCAATTTGCAGCCACATTTGACAGAACCCATACGCAGCACCCCCGATCCTCTCAATGTCTCAATATACATTCCTGTGTATATATTCACAAAATAAATATCTACTACCTTGTCACAATAACTCTTTGGGGAGGTACTATTTACATACATTATCTATCTCTTGTGAACCTGAGGTCATTCACCTGCCGATTATCAGAGGTCATTGTTCCGGAAGCGCATCCGCTCTGAACTAGAGAGACAATCCATCTGCGGTTCTCCTGTATAATATCATGACTGCTGACGTTCAGATGCAGTAGCAGTATAATCGCCTAATCCTGTCGCCGTGGTCAATACATGACGATTGATTTCCATACGCGTTCGTTCTCAGTATATTTCCTAGGATTGTAATGTCTCTAGGGTCTTTATAATCAACCCGTGCTTCAAATAAAGCATCTCCAGGCTCGGTTCTGAGGCTTATTAGAAAACGCGTGGAACTTTCTACTTTCAAGAAATAACCTCGTAATGAGAAGCCGCGTTCTTGCGATGAATCGCGCTGCATATCTGGGAATATTAAGGAAGCATGGTGAATAGAGACAAATTTAACCTTGGCACACTTTGATTGAACTTTCTTTAGAATGTCGTTTATTCTATTAACAACAAGCCTCGCTGACTGTATTATTCTCTCATCCGAGTTCGATACCCTCACTGACGTATAACACGGACAAAAGACATCCGAAATTCTAGCATCTGCACAGCTGCGGGAAGGTGGAATTTCCCTAAATAAACTGATTTCATATGGCAACATGCCGTTTTCGTCAGGTTTCACCACGGGCTGTTCCTCGTAATTAGCGTGCAATATGTCTTTCAGCATTAGAAAAACATCGTGATTTGTAGTAAGTCGTTCAGTATTCATTTTCATGTTATGCGCTATATGCGGGTATTTTTCAGTCAAACGTTTCGGGAGAACAATTGACATCAGTGGTAGGAGGTTTGAAACCCGGCCTATGTCTGTATTCTGAATCTCGCTGTATCGTGGCCCGTGATCACTGAAAAACAGAAGAACCGCGTTGTCTAATTTCCCAGACTCTTTTAGCCATTTGAAAAGATTGAGAATATCCTCATCCGCCAGTTCCACCATATTAAAGAAATCATGGGCAAGTTCATTAATCCAAGAAAATGCGAATTTCCTAGTATTTCCATATTTCTCAATAAATCTCTTGTAATAATTCATAAGGATTTTATATCTTTTTTCATTTCCAAAACACAATGCCGAGACTTTCCGAAGAGGAATATTATGACTCTGAAGAAACTGGAAACTTTTGTCAATCGCCAGGTAGGACGGTCTAACTTGGTCCATTGCTTGAATTAGTGGTTGTGAATAGTGCATGGTGGGCTGGTCAGTAAAACCCTTGAATGTAGCAACTTCATACCAGTCCTCCACAAAAACATTAACGGCCCCTTGATCCGAAAAATTCTTAAATATGAAAGGCAACTGATGTACAGGTGGAATGGGATTGGTGTAATCAGATATCAACCCTGTCAATAATGGATTTAAATTTGGAAATGAACTGTCTCCTAAACGAGTATGTCCGGTAAACACATATGCACCTAAAGACTGGCGAAGATACTTCATAGTTTTTGGAAGTTTTCTTTCGGCTATGAGTCTGGAAACAGAGTCCAAACCAAAAGAAATAACACTTAGTCTGTCCAGAGACTCGTTCACTAGTTTTCTTGATTTCAGGAACGGCTTAGCGTCCACGTTGAAGTGAAGGTTGTTATACACCCGTTTGTTTTGATTGTCGAAACATTCCACATGAACAAAATCTCCATCCAAATACTTAGGCGAAATGTAATCAATTTTCTCAGAAAACACAAATTTTGTTTCCGATTTGCGTATTATGTATCTATAATGACATCGAATATTACGTAGCCCCGACAACTGGACGGCAGTTTGATTCAACGTTAAATTCCCCAAAGGTGACACAAAAAACAAATCTAACCAATTCTCGCACGGTAGAGGCTGTTGGGACCAAAACTGATCATTGATGGATTTGTCATACATGTCAAAAACCGGAAGTAGACAGGGAGCATGTATATTTTTGTTACGGAACACTTGGAAGACAGGCATATAAATAAGCATATTGATGTACGTAAATCCAACTATCATCACACATGCAAGTAAAAATCTTCCCCGGCAGGTGCCACAAATGACACGCGAAAATTTCCTCCGAGAGTTGCATATTCGCACTGGCATCACAAAGTAGTCCTGCCAATTTTTCGGACCCTTGTTCATCGTCGTCTGAAAGAAAGGAGAAAAACATATAATACCGAGAAATGTTGACGAATTGCATCAATATCATATGCTGTTTCGTGTCACATTAGGTGATGTTTAATACCAAAGCATTCGAACAGGCACTATAGCAGTGTCAAATAAAGTAAATAATGCATAATGCCACAAGCGACAGATTTTCTGCTCGCGCGTCCAACCCAACAGTTCAAAATCGATTTCAAACTATTACCTTTTTGTATTCAGTTAAATCGCTTAAATCGTTAATCCCTTAAAGCGATTTTCGAAAGAGTCTTGGAAAAGGTGACATTTGACCCCGTGATTTACATTTCATTTTTAAATGGACACCTATACTAATCTTCTTTGTTGGGTCTATTTATCTATCGATTTAACTGCGCTGTACAAGCACCGCTTCATTTTTTGTTTGTCCAATAATAGGGAATTGCGGGGTTTCAAATATGTCGCACGATAATAACGACTCCTATATTACTGGGAGTCGGATAATCAATGGCAAGTCCGAGGAACGGCCCGTCTGGGGACATTGAGGAAATGTTCTACCGACACTTTGTGTTGAATGTCTCTTTTATGTACTATACCCAAAGACAGTGAAATCAATTTCACGGCTGTTACTCTTCCTGCATATACTTGGGCCTGAAATCAATTATATCCAAATCTGTGTGGATATTTAAAAAAAGGTAGCGATGCATGAACTGTGTTCCAGATGTTTAAAGAGATATTGAGAGAAATCGAATAACTTTCCTAGCAATAATAAAATTTTAAAGTCAAATTTTGAGAAGAAAAAGTGGCTACCTCCCTACCTCTCCTCTCTCTCTTCTTTGAAATTCTCGCGTTCTTCCAATACCGGTGTTGATTGTGAAATTGATTGCATTAAATCCCCATTGTCAAACAAAAAGCCAAAATATAGAGCACTTATCTAAAGCAGATTTCAAAATACGAAACGAAGTCAATTAGTGCACTTTCAACCCAAAGGTATTATGTCTGCTTGACTTACCAATACGAATTAAATATTTCACAGAAAAAGGTAATTTTCTTTTCTTTCCGGTCCAAAGCTTATTATCGTAACTGAGAATTCGATAAATTTCTCCACAGCCAATAAAGAAATTAAAAGTCCCTTATTTTGAAAACTCCTTTGTAATAGCTTTCAACATAGTTGTTAATTTTACATTTACGTGGGTGGATTAAGTTTTTTTTTCTTTTAAATTAGAAATGTTACATAACAAGGCTATATTAACCGACATGAGAAAAATGACACATAAGACACATGACGGATGAGGCTTTACATTAGAATATAAACTGCTTCAACTAATTATGGGAAACATTTTATTTATTCACCGTGGTTGTCAACCGTGTATAAAATCGACATTGCTGTGACAAGATTTGCTTTAAATAATTTGATTTTATTTACTCAATGACTGTACAATAAAAAAAAATGTTAATCCCCATCATCCTCTTCTAAAGATTTTCGATGAAAATATGGAGGGAAGTGAGATATTTATTATGAATACTGGGATACACTTCTCATTCAAATATTTTCTCAGAAATTGCTTATTTTCCTAGATTTGCAGGTGAAACCTCCCAAGATGCACAGCCTGAGTTTGCGCTATAAATATTCTATAGGAAAAAAATGATCTCGCACAGAAATTAATTTATTTTACTCATTAGCTGTATAATGACACTAATAATCACTAACAATCGTATTTCGACCACAGAAAAGGTAAAATAATGTGTCAAAATACATATGTACGCTATAAACATTTTCTGTTAATTATTTTATGTTAAGTAAAAGTGTCTTTGATGTACATGTATATTTGTATCCTATACGTTTGTGCCGCATGTTTAATATCTTGAACGAGATATGTTCTTATCAAAATAATGAATAGGGATTTGTGTGGCACTAAAACATGGTGATGTTCTAGTATCTCAGTCTACTCTTCGCCGTTTTCATTCCAAAACCATTACAAAGGTATGGAGCAAGTAAACAAAACTGCGTTGGTTTACCAGAACCAATTTCAATGCTTCTCCACTTTTTAAAGTTCGGTGCGCCAGTAGCGCATATTGTCATCTAATGACATTAAGGTATTGATCTAAATTCTCCTGAATATTAATATACCTCAATAATTAAGTAACGCTTAAAAAAAACGGAGTTTATTTTGTAATTAGATTCCCCGAGGAATGGTGATAGCTACACACTTCTGACCCAATTTTCTGAACGTGTGTAAGTTATGGCAATATAAAAACAAATTACAAAAAACAAACCCCCAAAACATAACAGATTTCAGTTTACCTATTTAACCTAAAAGAACTTTTTTCAAATATACTTCGAAAAAAAATATTCAGCTTAAAAAGTTTTGATAAGCGAAAAACGTAGAAAACATGAACTTACTGATTTCACTGCGTTCTGTGTTTACTATCGGGTCTATCCTAGCTTACCATGAAATACGGAAACCAATACGGGACTTTAATTGCTGCCATTCTCCTCGTGTTCAATTACGCAATAAGTAATTACTTTATAGCGGTTTATTGACACCAAAGTGAACACAATGACATGTCGAATTTGCTCAAATTCACAGGTTATATTGGTAATTTAATGAACTGTTATCAGTAAGTGAAGCTTTGAATTAGTACGTGTGATAATTCTTGACAAACTATAGGCTTTTAAAGGTGCTTAGACACAGATTTGAAGTTTATATTTACTCAAGTTTTCTGTATAATTTCATGACGTGCTTGTTGCTATAGCATTTCATACGAAAATTTGATAAAAATCTTACTTTATCTGGAAGTTATTGAAACTTCGAATTTCTGGTCGCGTTTGATAGACATGCACATCCTTGCACTTTCACAAATTTTAACTTTATCCTTATTACTTTAGAAATGTAGCAATTTTGTTGTTTATTAATGAAAAATATTAAAACTATAATGCAGAAATTTCAGAGTAGAAATGTAGAAAGCAAAATCCTCTCACCAGTATTGTCAGTCCGTGCTCAGTGGTGTGTGGAGAGTTTAACAATTGAACACACCCGGTGAAATGTAAATATTAACAACAACAGAGCTCGTGCCCTGACGAAAACAGTTTACGTTTCACGGGTGTATTCAATTTGTTAAACTCCGTACACAACTACACAACACTGAGCACGGGCTGTTTTGCTTTCTGGATTATAAATGTAATGTTATTCATTAATACACAGCTAAATTGCTACTTTTCTTAAGTATTAAGTATAAAGTTAAAAATTGTGAAAGTGCAAGGATGTGGCTATCAAACGCCTACCGAAATTCGTAGTTTCAATAATTTCCAGATTAAATAAGTTTTTAATTTTATTTTCGTGTGAAATGCTATAGCAACATATAAGTTGTGATATTATACAGAAAATTTGAGAAAATATAAACTTCAAATCTGTGTCTATGCACCTTAAAGGGAGTATATATAAAGGCAATATTGTTTGCTTGCCCTCTCCCGACCGATTGACTATAAACGGCCCTATCAAAACTTTTCTTGACCTCCAGAAAAGAATTATTTTTTTTTATTCATTTTGAAATTTTCGCATCCCATTCACAGCTATTTAACGTCACATTTGCAGATATTTTTAAATTTAATTGCCTATCTACCCACCCAATTTGTTTATATCCGGGGTCGGGAGAGGGCTAGCAAACACATTTTAAAGATGGCCTATCCTCGAAGAGGTTTTAAGTGAATACGGAGTTAAAACAATATGTTTAGAAAAAAATACAACTACTTTTCCAATTGCATATAATCCTGTGATATTTGATATGCAGGTGTTTGAGAAGCAAGTATACGTACACCTGACATTTACATTTTCCAGGAAAGAGTTTTCTACTTAAGTATATAGTAGTGTGGTCCCTTTTTAAACTCTTATTTTACCAGCTAAATATTAGCATATGGTATTCAGTTTATTTTTATTGTGTATAACAAAGTGTTTCTTATTTTAAAGCATTGTGTGTATTTACATTTTGACATATCAAAAAATACAAGTAAATTTTAACACTTACCGCGCTTAAAAATTCCAGAACATTCCCCAGAGCAGATTGCGTTTTCTCTATTACATGGAAATGGGCGGAGACATTTAAATTAGATACAATATCTAAAGAAGATACTTGACAGTGTCCATTGCTACGGAAGTCGGTTGGTGCCAAGAAGAAAAAAAATATTTTATCTAGCGGCCGCCACATAAATAACCAGAAACTTATCTGGCGACCGCCCTATAATTTTCTGGCGGCTGCCAAATAAATAGATCATGGGGCCGCCACATAGATAACTGGCAGCCTCCAGAAAATTATTTTGCGGCCGCCAGTTCATTAACGACCGACCGCCAGATAATTATTTGGCGGCCGCCAAATAAATAGTTCTGGCAGCCGCCACATAAATAACTGGCGGCCCCCACATATTTTTCTGGCGACCGCCAGATAAAATATTTTTTCTACCTTGCACCTACCGGCTTTCCGTACATTGCAGAGACAAATTAGATAATTTTACCAACAGAATAAGAAAACTGATTATAATTTTGTATCAAAGATGTTCATTTCTTACTTGTATTCATTTATGTAATATAATTATAATTTATTTATGTTCCTTTTTTTTATATAGAGGGGATATTTCGCTGTTATTCCTAAGCATCATATGTTCTAATGTTTTGGCAATGTGGAATAAAAAGTTTATGAAATTTTACAATATTCACTAGTTCGAAAAATGCAAAGTTTAATGAATTCAACGACAAAAAACAAACAACGGAATTTTAGTTTAAAAAAGGATATGTGCTAAAAGAGGATGAGTTAATTAAGAGTAAGAAACATTCTTGATATATACATATATATATTTTGCAAACACGAGTTATATGTTCAAGAATTACAATCAACTAAAAATACAATTTTCCATTTACAAAACTTTGGTAATAAAACATTATGATAAGATGAACTAAACATGTCCATGCTAACCGGTATAAAACTGAGTAAGTTTCAACTGCGAGCTAGCA